AGAGAGAGAGAGAGAGAGAGAGAGAGATTTAAATGTTTCATTTAGTGAGTTTTACGGCGCTCGCAACTACGTAAGGTCATTATTATGGGCGCGCGAAACACAGGTTGTATTCATTATTCACGACAGATCGATCACTACACGTTTTGGTTTTCCTTTACGGTTAGGTTTAAATATATCATGTTTAGTTTTAAAAACAGCAATTTACATTTTATAAAACAACAAATTATTTGCACCATAGAATAAAAGTCAATGACATATTATGCACATGTATAATGGGGAATTCTGCTGGGATCAACGACGGTGATAAAACTCTTCAAATCTACACATTTGAAATATTTCCTACGGGCCTCTCAAAAGTTTGGGCACCCGATTAGTATGTGCCTAATGACAAAATCAGTATCGCATCCGTTATAAAAAGGTCTGTCAGCTCCCAGAGGGAGACATGCATGTGTTAATAGAGGCATGTCCAATTCGTAATCTAGTAAGAACAATTTCGTCTCCACTAGAAGGTTTTCGTGAGACCCAATTTGGGCATACTCTTGTGGAGTTTGTTGTTGAATTGTTCGCTCCAGTGTTCCTCCCAAAGACTGGAAGTAGAGATTTTGACAGTATTTTTGCAAAGTTCCGTCTGTGGGAAGGTGTTCTCCGTTGATCCCAACAAAAGGGACAAGGACTCCTCGGCCAGAAGATCTTTTTTTTTTTCATTTAGTAGAGGTTTTACGGCACTCCAAACTGCATAAGGTCATATGAGCGCCAAGGGGTGGATGTCAACAGAGAAGTCTTTACAGGGAATCAGGCTTACTCTGCTCACCTCTCTAGCTTCAACAGCACAAAGTCTGTTTAGACTTTCAAGGCACCCCGGAAATAGCGAGTCACAAGAGTGTGACAAACATACACAAGAAGTAGAGGGAAAATGACAATAGTAAGGATTAGGAAAGAAAAAGCAGCAGTTCCCAGTTGTAAATCAGGCACAGCGATGAGCGTGACATTGATGAATCAGCCCATTTACAATTCTATTGTGTATGAACAAGAAATGCCACCCCCTCCCTCCCTTGGGAATGGCCTAAAGACACTTCAGTCAGTGGCACCGCCCTGGGGGGACTTGCTCGTTTCCCCCGATGCCCACATGGCTAGGCTAGCTATGCAAACAACACTGTTCAGTCACTGAGTGAATAGTCAACTGCAATAGAACTATTTTCGGGTTTAAAGGTGAGCGATAGCTGAGAGAAGTGAGGCAAGACAAGGAATCGAGCACAATGAGAAAGGATGATTTAGGAGAATTTTTTACGGAGTCTTGGCAGTGGCCTCTGCAAAAAAAATAATTTAAAAATTGGAGGCCCCGGGATGAAGCCTCCTCTGATGAGCGTTGTTTGTGGACAGGGAATGAGAGAAAGAGCGGGAGCGAGAGAAAGAGAGAGAGAGAGATATAGAGGGATAGAGATAGAGAGGGGTGGACGAAGTAGAGAGAGAGAGACGGAGAGAGAGAGAGAGAGAAACAAAGAGAGAGAGAGAGAGAGAGAGAGAGAGAGAGAGAGAGAGAAACAAACATGTTCTTGTTTTGCACCCCGTAGAGATACTCAACAAAATAACAGCAACACTCGAGACAAACAAAAGTAGTGAGACCAACCAGTGGCGTCCTCCAACCACCCACATCGAACTCACACCCACCGTCTGCCAGCAACAGCGAAGAGCCTAACTAACCACTGCACCACAGACGCCAGTAGACACACAGAAGCAGTCAAACGCCAGTACAAGAACGTACAGCCAAAGACAACCACAGCCAGAGGCGCAATCAAAACAACAGCCCCCCTACATCCCGACATGACGCCAGACCCTCACATTTGAAGCACACACACACACACACACACACACACACACACACACACACACACAAACACACATGATAACGACACAGCAAAACGTGCGGCGCGAAGGGGTCAGGTCACGTGTTTACGGGGAGGACAAAAGTCACCGATACTGTACAGGGAGTAACGTTTTTTTGTGTGTTTTTTTAGAAATAGTTTTACGACCCTTGCAACACAAATAGGTCGTATCAAGTGCCGAAGAGTACAGGTGTTACAAGAGATAACATACAGAGAAATAAGAATACCACAACAACAAGGCATAGTTTTTGTAAGGGTTATACGGTAGGTACTTGCAACACAAAAAGGTCGTACAAGGGTCGAAGATAAGAGGTGTGACAAGCAGTAACATACCAAGAAGGCACAATTTTAGTAAGGGTTTCACGGCATTTGCAACACAAATAGGTCATATCAAGCGCAGAAGATTAGAGGTGTTACTAGAGATAACAAAAGAAGGAAGAGAGATAGTGACGATAGATGCTTGATAGCAAAGAATGAGCAAGCAAACTACACCAGATAGAGCACCCGCCCACCACCCACACAGGCAGAAAGCTGCACGGACAGCCTCGATGGTGTCACTGTGTCACACTGCCCAAGTCCCGCGATCGATAAGTATGAGAGATAGATTACGGGTTTAATTTTGTTCTTTTGTTTTGTTTCGTTTTGTTTTTGCTTGAGTGAAGAGAAAAACATCAATACTGTATGCTTACCAGGATGTTGAGAGATTGTTTCAGAATGCTATCAGGTCTGCTGGGGTAATACTATCGATTGTAAAGCGCATAGAGTTCGCTGTTGAGCGGGAATTTGTGCTAAACAAATGTTTATTATTATTATTATTATTATTATTGTTATAGCACAAGGTCTGCTATCAAGGCATCCCAAAATAGCAGGTCACAAGAGAGTGCCAAACATACAAAAGAAGTAGAGGAAAATGACAATAGTAAGGA